TTGCCCTTGCAACTGGGAGGTGCTTCTGGCTTCTGCCCCAGCTGCCTGGCTGATACCAGCCTTTGGCTGCTCTAAAACATACATTTTAGATGCACCTAAAAATACATCTAAAAAAATCTAAAAAATCATCTAAAAAATCTAAAAAATAATCTAAAACATCTAAAAAATCATCTAAAAATAATCTAAAACCCATACATCTACAACATTTTAGTGCCTAAAACTGACTTCCGAAGACCCTGGGTTTTTCCCATTAGCAATTCCAGTCTCACCATTTTTGCTAAGGGCAGAGTTGTCTCCAAGGGTTCATATCAAAACCACTTCAAATCGAAGTCCCTTCCTTCAGTGAGGCTGTATGAGAAAAGCAGACCCTATCACCCATGTTTCGTGCATGGGCAGAGCCCATCACTGAGTCACCAGCCCTGGAATGCTGGTGGGACCTGCAGGATCCTCCCCACTCCCATCTCCTCCAGCATCCTCCATCCGAACTCTCCAGCCTCATCCCAGCTTCCTGAGCCAGGCAAACCCAACATGGTCCCCACAGCCACCCCCATTAGCCTCTGATGGGGCTACTTCCCAGCTGCAGAGTCAGAAGGGAAAGAGCATCTTTATTGCAGCACTCCTGGGCTTTGGACCTGGGGTGGAATGGATGGGGCCATCCTGGAAACAGGCGCATGCATACGTGCATCTGCATCAGCAGCACCCAGAGGATTTGTGACTGAAACCTCCTATTCATGGTCACCTCTGCAAGATTCCTGCTGTGGGGAACACCAAAATAAAAGCAGAACCATGTCTGGGCAACTTTCAGGAGGAAAAAAACACCTTAGAAGTGGGAGGGTTTGGGATGCTGTCACACCACTCATGGCTGTGGATGCTGCAATGGGTCTCCCTTCCCTGGGAGGAGGAGGATGATGGATGGTGAAGCACATCCTGCAGCTGCAGAAGCTGTGAGGTACCACTCTGCAGGCCTGTGCCAATTTGCACTGTCTGTAGATGGATGAAGAAAGCTTTCCCTCTGTCCCATGGAATTCCAGCTGACCAGAAGCTTTGGGAGCAACAGAGAGATGGAGCTGCAGTGCTGCTGCGTTGCATTTAACACAGCCTGTTATCAGAGCAAGGCATTTTTAGTTATTCCTTATACTGCTTTAGCATAAAAAAGCTACTTTTGGCTTGATTGCAGAGGCTGAAAGAAGAAGCCCCTCAGCAAGTCAGGTTCAGAGCTGACAGGGTGTATTCCCCATTGCCCCACAGTGGGAGACTATTCCCAGCCCATTCCTCCAGCAGGGCTTCCCAGAGGATGCTGCACTGGGATGCTGGGAGCGTGCCGAGGGGGAATTTGGAGCGTGCTGGTCCAAAGGACTTGTTGTTGGAAGAACACCTGGGACAAAGGGAGGGAGATGAGGAGATGGCAGTGGTGATTGCAGAGCTCCCTTGGCATCGCTGCTCACTGGGACACTTGGAAGCTCAGCACTAAGACACTTGTTTTAGTTAAACAACCCCGGGTGGAAGGATTGCCCTTTGTTACCAGCCATATATTGTTGTTACTAGCCTGTTTTGTTCTCATTTCTTATAAATATAATGTCAGGGTGGGTTGGGAGAAGATGTTCCTGTCGGGAAGTGAGGGCCTTCTCTTGGGCCATCCGCAGCGTGAGCCGCAGGCGGAGGAATGCTGATTAATGAAGCTCAGTTCACACATATGTTCCTGTGGTTTGGCATTCCCTCCATCTGGCCCTGGATACGGCAGAGATGGTAAAAGACCAATATCCAATTCTGCTTCCTGCCTTCTTTTTAACTCCTTCCAATATTTGTTTGGGATCACAGTGGTCATAAGGGGAATATGAAGATGTTGCAAGGGCTGGAGCAGCTCTGCTCTGGAGCCAGGCTGAGAGAGCTGGGCTGGGGCAGCCTGGACAAGAGAAGGCTCCTGAAGGGGAGACCTGAGAGCAGCTCCAGTGCCTAAAGGGGCTGCAGGAAACCTGGAGAGGGGCTTGGGACAAGGGCCTGTAGGGACAGGCCAAGGGGAATGGCTTTAACCTGCCCGAGGGGAGACTGAGATGAGCTCTTAAGCAGAAGTTCTTCCCTGTGAGGGTGCTGAGGCGCTGGCACAGGGTGCCCAGAGAAGCTGTGGCTGCCCCATCCCTGGCAGTGTTCAAGGCCAGGTTGGACACAGGGGCTTGGAGCAAGCTGCTCTAGTGGAAAGGGTCCCTGCCCGTGACAGGGGTTGGAGCTGAAGGAGCTTTAAGGTCCCTTCAACCCAAACGGTTCCATGATTCTATGGGGCATAGACACAGCAGACAGGGAAGCAGGACAGAGACCACACAATGAGCAAAGTTCTCCTCCCAGGACTCACGCTGCATCCCTGCAGCCTCAGCACTGTGAGACGTGAGGATGGGGCATGGAGCAGCCAGCACCAGTGAGGGGCAGGTCCAGTGGTGTGTGTCATCCCTGGGATGCAGTGGCTGGTTGCATCTCTCCATCCCGCTTCCCTCTTGCCCAGCCCCATGGCATGGGGTGATGGAGGCGTCCACTCAGCTCTTGCAGACAGGGAAGTGACACTCAGCATCATCTCCCTGGGGCTGATGGTGGCTTCTTTGTGACAGCGAAATGTGCACGTTCACATGGATGGGAACTGTGACACATCAGGGGTGTTGCTGATGGGCTCAGAAGAGGAGAACAAGAAGGAAAACAACACAACAGCAGGTTTGCAAACAGGAAGCATTTGAACCAACCAGCCCATGGGTCTGCAACGCCCGTCCTGTGAGCGTGGGTCTTTGGCAATCTGCTTCCGCTGCTCTCACAAGTGATGCCCAAGCCCTGGCACATCTGCATCCCTTCAGCGACCACCCCTGAGCAGAAGCCGTGGTCCCAGGCCCCATTTGGAGCTGAGGAAGAGCCGCGGTGCCAGAGCCCACACGCAAACTGCTGGAGGAACCTCATCACCTTGTTCCTGGTGGCCAGATCTCACCTGGGATGGTTTTGGCATAGCAGCTGTGGAAAGGTTTCATGTGCAAGTCTGACGCAGAGGACTGCAGCTCTGGAAACCAAGCTGTGCAAGGATTCTGCCCTCCCCTGCCTGGTGAGAGGGGTCTGGGACTCACCTCCAATCCTGCCTCTGTCCTCTTCATTCTTCCCATCTGTCTCCTCAGCTGTTTCCAGCCCTTCAAGGCCAAATGGCTCCACATGCCTCTTGTTCCTCCCTCCACTCCTCTTCCAAGTCTGTCTGCTGTCCCCCTGGGCCAAGCTTTCCCCTCCTATCCCTATTTTTCTTCTCCTCTCCTCTCCTCTCCTCTCCTCTCCTCTCCTCTCCTCTCCTCTCCTCCTCTCCTCTCCTCTCCTCTTCCTCTCCTCTCCTCTCCTCTCCTCTCCTCTCCTCTCCTCTCCTCCCTTCCCCTTCTCTTCCCTTCCCTTCCCCTTCTCTTCTCTTCCCCTTCTCTTCCCTTCCCCTTCTCTTCCCTTCCCCTTCTCTTCTCTTCCCCTTCTCTTCTTTTCTCTTCCTCTTCTCTTCTCTTCTCTTCTCTTCTCTTCTCTTCTCTTCTCTTCTCTTCTCTTCTCTTCTTCCCCTTCCCTTCCCTTCCCTTCCCCACTCCACTCCACTCCACTCCACTCCACTCCACTCCACTCCACTCCACTCCACTCCACTCCACTCCACTCTCCTCTCACTGCTCAGTTCTTAAGCTCTCTGGCTAGCAGATGCTGTAGCTTGTGAGGGATTGCAGAAACCAGGATTACCAGAGGACATTCCAAGTACTGGTGACCTGAAAGCCACTGATTGTGCCTTCATCTCTTGCCTTTCCCCAGGCGAGCACAAGAAGAGGAAGATGAACCGACATCCCAACGGCACGATCCATGACTCGCATATGGTGTCCCCAGCACCCACAGAGAGCCTGGTCTATGAGGCTGAACACAACGGGACCCGGTGCTTTGCAGAGCACATCCCCGAACTCGTCACTGGGAGCATCACCCTGCTCATCTGCCTGTGTGGGCTGGTGGGGAACGGAGCCATCCTCTGGCTCCTTGGCTTCCGCATCAGGAGGAGCCCCTTCACCGCCTACCTCCTGAACCTGGCCGTGGCCGACTCCTGCTTTCTCCTCTTCACATCGGCTTTCCTTGTGGTCTATCACATGCCCATGCTCAGCTGCTCCCAGCCAGCGCTCCTGGGGGTGCTGCAGCTGTTTCACTCCATGGTCCTGCTCACGTACGGCACCAGCCTCTACCTCCTCACTGCCATCAGCGTGGAGAGGTGTATGGGTGTCCTCTGGCCCTTCTGGTGCCGAGGCCACCGCCCGGAGCCCCTCTCTGCTGCAATGTGTATCCTGCTGTGGGCCCTCTCCTGTGTGCTTGCGGGGCTGGTGCACTTTGTGTGTGACCCGGATCATTCCCAGCACTGCTGGACGGTTCTCGGGCTCTTGTGCTGCCTCAATTTCTGCCTTTTCACTCCCTTTATGGTTCTTTCCAACGTGATCCTCTTCGTCAAGCTCAGACGCAGCTCTTGGCAACACCACCCAGGAAGGCTGTACGCGGTCATCTTCCTCACCGTTCTCTTCTTCCTCCTCTTTGGCATCCCACTCAGTGTCCAGATCTTCCTCAACTTCTTTGTGTATATTAACTTTGTCTTTGAGGTCTGCCTCTTGCTGGCCTTCTTTTAACAGCAGCATCAATCCCGTTATTTACGTCCTGGTTGGGAGCTATGGGAAGTTCACGTTCAGGGGATCTTTCAGAGTGGCTCTTCAGAGGGTCTTTGAAGATAAGGCAGATTCCCAAGAGGTGGGACCCCTGTGATGGAAATCGCTGCCTAAACCCCTGTGGCTGAGACTGGAGAGGGGTGGCCCTGCCTTTGCAGCCCATGACAGCACCCCATGGCCTGGCTGGGTGAGCAGGACCAGCAGTGGACAGTGGTGTCCCTCAGGACATGGCCATGGGCAGGGCTGGTTCCCAGCTCAAACTCGGTTTTAAGTTATTTAAATAAAGGTGTCTTTTGGGTAACTTACCGGAGACTGCGGTTTCTTCCTTGATGGCTCCATGGGGAGCTTGTTCTCAAAATCATGGATGTGACCATCCCCTCACGCTGCCCATTAGGCGTTGTACATGCATGATACATGCTGAAACGATGTGGTCCAGGAGGTCCTGCCTTATCCATTTTCCTGTTCTCCAGGGTTAGCGCAGCCATGCTCCTGGGCCTCAATCTGCATCTTGTCTGCTTCCCACATAGGAAGTCCCAACTCTTCCTGCCTCTATCTGCTCCTGGGACCTTGATGCCTGATACTAAAGCACCAAACACTCACTACTCTGATCCTCAAAAGCCTCCAGACCACAGGAGGTGATGGTGAAGGGACAGAAAGGATGCTCTCAGCTCCCTCTGTCTTTCTGTCCTCCTGTGGCAGAGTCTGACAGAGAAAACCCATCTCAGCCTGGCTAATGGAGCTGGAAGCATCACTCAACACGCAAACCTCTACCCTTCCAAGGGGGTTTAGGTGGGGGAGCAGGGACAGGCAAAGAGGCAAGTGCTGCTGGGGGTGGGCACTCTGGGTTGGACAGAGGATGGACAGCCAGCCAGTGTCTGATGGCTGCTGGCAAGTGCAGTTCTGTGCCGTGGATGGAGAAGCCCATGGAGCAAACCACCAGGGCAGAGGCAAGAAAAGAGGCAGACAGAGAAGGATGGTTCTCGTGTGTGATGGCTGGAGGAGACTGAGCTCTGCCTGCCAGATGGTGTTATTGGCTTTCCCAGCACACAGAAACAACTGATACCAGAGCCATAGCATTTACAGGCTGTAGGTGCCTTTGGTCACACACAAGCCTGACCCCAAAACAAGCAAACAGCCCGTGTCTGTAAATCATGTGCTGGAAATCGCTCTCAGGATGTTACCCTCAAAAGCAGAAGCTGAGAAACCCTGTCTGATTCTGCTCTTTTCTCGAGCACATGGGTAGATGTTGATGTACCTTGACCTACAGGAAACCTGGAAAGGGGCTTTGGACAAGGGCCTGCAGGGACAGGCCAAGGGGAATGGCTTGAACCTGCCCGAGGGGAGACTGAGATGAGCTCTTAGGCAGAAGCTCTTCCCTGTGAGGGTGCTGAGGCGCTGGCACAGGGTGCCCAGAGAAGCTGTGGCTGCCCCATCCCTGGCAGTGCTCAAGGCCAGGTTGGACACAGGGGCTTGGAGCAAGCTGCTCCAGTGGAAGGGGTCCCTGCCTGTGGCCGGGGTTGGAGCTGGATGAGCTTTAAGCTCCCTTCCAGCACAAACCATTCCATGGTTCTCTGTTTCTCTGATTCTCTTCTCATGGCCTGTTTGCACTTGAAAGCATTGGCATTGCAAGATGTGAGATTCTCCAGCTGGGGACACAAGCACAGCATCACCAAGCGAGAGAGGAGGTGGCTTTGGTCCTGCAGTCCCCACATGTGCCAGTTCCCAGCAGGAGCATCCCTGCTCCCAGATGCAACAGGAGCTGTTTGCGTTTGTCCTGCACCACAGTCAGCCTGGGTAGGAGCCATCTCACCTCCCTTCAGCTCTCTGCAAATTTCATGGGCCTGTCTGAGGCACTGTAGAAGAAACTCAGATGAAACCCATAACTTTTAGATGGTTAAAACCAAGTGAGCAGCTCTGATTCACCTCTCCTTAGGAAACCCCAGATTTTCCTGGAATCCTGATCCATCTTTTCTTTGCCGCTTGGTGCTCTTGGAAATGGTGCATTTGAAGGTCAAGTATTGCAGTGAAATTGTGGTGTATGGGTTTCAAACCCAGATCTGAATCAGAAATAGAGGTTTTGCTGCAACTCCCAGCTTGTAGCACTGGGTCCTAAAGATATCCGCCTGGAATGGGAGGAGGAGGAAAGTTCATTCCGTCCAAAGAGAGGAGTATTTTGGGACTGGGGTTGCTTTAAAATGAAATAAAAGAGGAACATGACACCATCAACAATCAGCTCTTCCCATAGGTCTGATTTCTGAGAGTCCTTTTAGTCATTTCCTGTGCGAGGAAGAGTCTATAGCCAGAACCCTGCTCCTGTCAAACACAATGAAATAGCCCCCTCTTTACAGGAGCCCTTGACCTGCTTGGCTGTCAGCAAGCTGCTTTGTGAAAGGAGCTGAGAACGACCCCTTGCTGGAGGCTGCACAGGCTCACCAAGGCTTCAGTCCGGCTTTCCAAGTGCTAATTCCAGGAAACCTCATGAAGCATCACAGAGGCAGGAGGTGGTGAGCAGAGGTGATGGGCGTCTGCTCCAGGCTACCAGAGGAGACAAGGTCAGACCTTTCTGGGTGGTATTTTCCAGCTTAATTTAGCGCCTCCCCTCACTGGTGTTGAACCTGTTGGTCAATACTGGGGAATGGTTGTCTGTGGGGTATGGAGACCCATGGGAAAAGGTGGTAGGGGAGCAGTGAAATGAGTGTCCCACTGAAGGAACCCAGCAGCTTGGTAACGTCAGCTATAATATTAGATACCTGAGAATCCCTATCAGATCCACCCTGTAAATAACTTGATCTTTGACATAGAATCCCAGCACGGCTTAGGTTGGAAGGGACTTTAAGGATCATCTATTTCCAACCACCTGCACAGGCACCTCCAAGGACAATCCTTTTATCTTATTATTTCTCTCCTCCAGATCTGTTTCATTAAAAGCTGGGAAGGGGGCATCTCCCTCTATACATGCTTTTTGTGCCAGGTATGTCAACCCCATCTCCCCACATCCTGTCTTCCACCTCTCCTGTCCCTCATTTCTCTCTGTGCTCCTCCATGTAGAAGCTGGGGCATGGCTGCAAAGATCTGAAAGCCTATTGTGAGAGACAATAGAGGTTCTAAGGTGTCTCTGCTTCATCTCATCCCTGCAGCTGCGTGAGGAGGAAGGAGAAGCAGCAGAGGTTTTGCAATGAGCACATCACTCCCTGCCGTGGAAGGAGCCAGCCCTGCTTGCTGGAGCCAGCCAGTGTGGAACAGGAGTTGGCATCACCAGCTCTTGATGCATGGGGACACTCACTACAACTGGACCAACTGGGAACCTGGTCACTGGAGCAAAGTCCCTGCCACGCTGCTCATCTGCCTTTGTGGGCTGCTGGGGAATGCGGCTGTGCTCTGGTTCTTCACTTCCCATGTCCGCAGGAACCCCATCACCATCTACGTTCTCAACCTGGCCGTGGCTGACTTCACCTTCCTCCTCTCCATCACCACTGCCCTTGGGGTACTTTATGGCCCGGAGACCCTTTGCCACAGGCTGGGCTCACGGGACGTGACAACTGTGTTGAACATCACCATTCTCTTCTCTTTCACCGCCAGCGTCTTCCTCCTGACAGCCTTCAGTGCCGTGGCAGCTCTGTCTGTCCTTCCCATGGCCCACTGCCACTGCTCCCAGTGCTTGCCAGTGCTTGTGTGTGCCCTGTTCTGGGCCCTCTCCTTTCTTTTCGCCCTGACCCTCTTCTTCTGCCCTGCAGCACTCATTGCCTTCATCCTCAGCTACCTCTTATCACTACTTACCCTGGTTTTATCTGGTTTAACCCTGCTTGCCAGGGTCTTGTGCTGTTCATGGCAGCATCCTCCAGGGAAGCTCTGTGCTGTGGTCCTGCTCGCTGTCGTCTTCTTCCCCTTCTTCACAGCTGATTTTGAGTATTGGCTTTTGCTAAGGCTGTTTGATTTTTCAGTCTTTGTCTTCGATGCCTCTCTGCCCTTGGCCTGTGTGAACAGCAGCATCAACCCTGCTATTTACTTCTTGGCTGGGAGCTGCACAAGGAAGTTCACACTCTCTGTGAGGGTTGCTTTCAAGAGGGCTTTTGGAGATGTAGCAGAGCCCCAGAACAAAGGTGAAACTCCCAGAGCAAACACAGTGGAACCAGCTGTTTAAACCTCTGCAACCTCCCCCCCCCCCCGGGAGAAGATGCTCCAGGGATGGAGAGAAGGAATATGGGCCAGAACAGGATTAGCTGCAGCATGACAAAGTGTGCTGGGTGGCATGGGAGAGAACACTGAACAAAGTGATGAAATACCTATGCTCTGAAGGCAGGCTGAGACAGTTGGGCTGGGTCAGCCTGGACAAGAGAAAGCTCCTTAAGAGGAGACCTTAGAGCAGCTCCAGTGCCTGAAGGGGCTGCAGGAAACCTGGAGAGGGGCTTGGGACAAGGGATGTAGGGACAGGCCAAGGGGAATGGCTTGAACCTGCCCGAGGGGAGACTGAGATGAGCTCTGAGGCAGAAGCTCTTCCCTGTGAGGGTGCTGAGGCACTGGCACAGGGTGCCCAGAGAAGCTGTGGCTGCCCCATCCCTGGCAGTGTTCAAGGCCAGGTTGGACACAGGGGCTTGGAGCAAGCTGCTCTAGTGGAAGGTGTCCCTGCCCGTGGTCGGGGTTGGAGCTGGATGAGCTTTAAGCTCCCTTCCAACCCAAACCAGTCTGGGATGATTCAAAACTTTTGCTCTGAATCTGTCCTATTCAACAGGTCTGAGCTTTCCCCATCTCAAAAGCGATTTTGCTCAAACAGAGCCCTGGAAGCTCTTCCCTCCTGCTCGTGGGGGTGTTTTTGGTGTGTCTGCTTAACAGAGCAGCTTGAGGTGGATCAGAATGCTTGGCAGAGCAAAGCAGAACAATTCCAGGGCAAACCCTTGTGTCTGCATCTCCAGACATGTGTGAAGAGCGTGTGAAGATTTCACATCCAGCGTCATTACCAGGCAAGCAGGCATGTGGTTGGGATTGCCCCTGGAAGGCTTTCCCTGAAATGCTTCTGCTGCAGATGGAGTTTTGTCTGCACATGATGTGGGTTCTTGACTGGAACTGCCTCTTGGGGCTCTTCCTGCTTTACTCTGGGCTGTCGGGATGGGTTGGCTTGAGCAAACAGCATTTCGCAACCGTGACCCGAGGTCTGTATCCACTTCTGGTGTGCCTGTTCCTCATCTAGAAAAGCAAAAGGAGTAGGGTTAAAATGAAACAACCCCAAAAGCAATGGAGGCTTTGTAAAGACTCGGTTTTCCATGTGAAAGAGGATACAGGGAGAGGGAAAGAAAGCAGTGGATTGCTGTTGAGGCAGTGAGGACTGAACCCCTCTAGCTTGGCTCAAGAACTCTCCGGGTAAAAGGGGTCATGTCGGCACTTTCTCTTCTTCTATCTCTCCCTTTCTCTGCTTCCCTCTCCTCTCTGCGTCTGCCAGTCCTTGCTATCAGGGAGCTGGAGGATACACCAGCTATCATTTGCTTCTGAGCTGTGTTGCTCCCTGGCATGACTCCTCACCAGTCTGCATTAACTTCAGTAGGGAGCACAAGGTTGGGAAGATGCAGTAGGCAGGGAAAGGTGAAGGGAGAAAGGGCATGAGCAGAGCAGAGCTATGGATGCTGTGGTCTCTGGGAGCTGGGATGGTGACAGAAGGTTCTCTGCCCTTTGGCTTGTTCCTCAGAGCAACAGGTCACTGGAGTGGCTGGAATGGAAATCAATCACTTGGTGCAGTACAGGCACAGAGCCAAGATAACTAAAGCCATCAAATTCTGGTAGAACCAAGAAGCTCAGATGGGAGGCGGCCTGGGTGATGAAGCAGGCAAGGCTGATCCCAGGAAGCAGGAAAAGTCCCTGTGAGGATCATGGTCCTGCACTTGCCCTGGGAGACATCCTGTGGATGATGGGAGCTTTTGCTGGCCAGGTTGTAACTCGGAAAGTTTTTGCACACCAAAGGACTATAAAATGGGAGAGGGAGAAAAAGCCCTCAACTACAAAAGATTCCTGCCCTGTTCCGGAAAACAACACTTAATAAATGCGTCTTAGATGTTTGATCTCATCATGTAGCTTCACGATCAGACCCCGAGTTGTGATCAGATGCTCGGTATGATCAGAACCCCTCTCCTGCCATCTAGAGGCAACAGCGCCGGGCGTGGGCTGGATGTGACCCTGCAGCCCCCTGACTCGAGGGTCTGGGTGAGCAGCGGGGCCGAGGGCTTCTGTGCAGGGCAGTTTCTCCTTCTCGTTTGCTTTCTTTGCATCTCTCTCTCGCACTCATTGCTTCTTTGTGTCTTATTTCCCTTCCTACCTCCCCTTTTCCTTCATTTGCACTTTCCTCCCCTCCCCTCCCCTCCTCTCCCCTCCCCTTCCCTTCCTTTTGTTTTTCTTTCTATTCTCTTTCCTTTCCTTTCCTTTCCTTTCCTTTCCTTTCCTTTCCTTTCCTTTCCTTTCCTTTCCTTTCCTTTCCTTTCCTTTCCTTTCCTTTCCTTTCCTTTCCTTTCCTTTCCTTTCCTTTCCTTTCCTTTCCTTTCCTTTCCTTTCCTTTCCCTTTGCCATTCCCTTTTCCTTTTCCTTACCCTTTTCCCTAGCCATTCCTTCCCTTCCATTCACCTGCTTTCCCTTCCCTTCCCTTGCTTTTCCTTCTCTTCCTTTCCCTTTCTTTCCCTTCCTTTCCCTTTCTTCTTATTTTCTTTCTTTTCCTTGCCTTTCCTTTTGCAGTTCCCTTTCCCCTTCCCTTCCCTTCCCTTCCCTTCCCTTCCCTTCTATTCCTTTCCTTTTCCTTCCCCTCCTTTCCCTTTCTTCTTTTCTTCCCTTTCCTTCCCTTTCCTTTTGCCATTCCCTATGCCTTTTCCTTCGCCCTTTCCTTCACCTTTCTCCTTGGTTTTCCTTGCCTTGCCTTCAAATCCCTCGCCTTCCCTGGAAATTCCTTTCCCATTCCTTCGTTTTTCCTTTACCTTTCCTTTCCTTCCCTTTCTATTTGCCTTTCCTTTTGCCTTTTCTTTTTGCCTTTCCTTGATTTTTTCCTTTTTCTTCCTTCCATTCTTTCTCTAACTCTCACTTTTTCTTGGAACTAGATGATCTTAATGTCCTTTCCAACCCTAACTATACTATGATTCTATGATTCCTTCTTTTCCTCTTCATCTCTCTCTCACTCTCCAAATTGCAGTGTTTTCCTGGATCTTATTCTCTCTTTCTCTCAACCTTCATTAAACCCATCCAGGAGCCTCCTTGGCTTCCCCATCTTTGCAGTCCCTTTGCCAGAGCCCTGCCGGCCTGGGACAAGAGACACAGCCAGAGCTCACCCGGGGCCTCTCTCTCACACCTCCCCCAGCCAAAGAGCTCCCCCAAAGCACCACAACACTCGGCTGCTCAGCCAAAGCACACACAGTTTATTTGGTGGGGCCAAGGCCAGGAGCCTCATTGCAATGGGGAGCAGAGCTCAGGCCTCCCCCTCCCCAGCAGGGCCTTGGGCAGTGCTCTCCATGGGGATGCCCTCAGGCACGGGGCTCTCCTCCTTGCTCCTTTCTCTCTCTTCAAACACTCTGCGCAGGGCGACTTGGATGGAGCCTTGGAAGCGGCGCTGCCGGCAGCTCCCCACCAGGAAGTAAATGACTGGGTTGATGCTGCTGTTCAGCAGAGCCAGCACCAGAGTCACCGTTTCAGGTAATAGAATACCATAATATAAAAGATTAAAGAAAGAATTTACGCTGAAAGGCATCCCTAAGGCAAAGAAGAAGATGATGTTGAGCACAACAGCAACATAGAGTTTCCCCAGGCGCCGTCTCTGTGAGCCACATCGGAGCCTCGTGACCATGGACACGTTGGAAATCAACATCGTTAATGACAAAATCACGGAACAGACAATGCCCACACTTGCAAAGAGCGTGTAATGTCTTTGACCAAGGAGAGAGCAAACATAATATGACAAAATGAAAAACGCAACGCCGGCCCAGAGCACCCCACTCACGATGCCTGACAAGTGCTTTGGGCGGTGGCAGCGATACCAGATTGGGAAGATGACAGAGACACAGCGCTCCGTGCTGATGGCTGTCAGGAGACCCAGGCTGCTGAGGACTAACAAGTGGCTCAGTAATTCAACTGCATCTAAGAAATCATTGTAGAATGGAAGAAAAGAACCCAAACCATAACAAATTATTGTCAAGTTGAAAAGCCCCAATATGAGCAGAAAATACAAGAGGAGCAGAGAGCAGTCAGCAACAGCCAGATTTAGGATGTAGACAGTGAAAGGATTCTGCCTCAACCGAAAGCCCAGAAACCACAAGACTATCCCATTCCCCACCATTCCAAACACACAGATCACCATGAGGAAACCTAACAAGGTCATAAATCTGCCCGATGCATATAAACATTCATAATTTCCCGCATTGCTCCAATTCCCATCATGTGTGTAATTCAGAGAGAGGTCTGTTGTGTTGGTCTCCTCCATAGCAAATGACCCTGCTCTGGGCAGCCTCCTTCTCCCTCTGCCACCACCTCCTAGGAGACACAAGCAATGAGAAGGCAATGAGGGCCATCGGCGTTCCCCGCTCTCCCCATCTCTCCCCACAGCCCCCCGCCAGCCCCAGGCTGCTCCAGGAAGGACCCGTCCCCCGGCGTGCCCAGCACAGGCTCCCAGCCCTGCAGGCCTGGCCCTGCCCAGGAGCCATCTCCCACCTGCCCGTGCCCACTCTCCTACCTCCTGCTGCTCCTGCCAACAGCGCTGCTGCACGAGCTCCAGCACAGGGGCCTCCAGCCTCGGCAGCACAAAGCCTCTGGGGATGCTTCCGTGGCCACCCCGCTCTGCTCTGCCGTCTTCCTCGTGCCTGGGGAGCAGAGCTTTGCCCACACATCACGGCCCGTGCTCAGCAGACACCCCTCACAATCTGCCCACATCGCTCACAGCTTCCCCTCACATGGCCCAAGGGGGGAGATCTTGTCAGCAGGAGCTGGGCACGTCACCCCCTTCCTCTCCTGCCCCTGGCTTATCACCGGGAGGGGCTGATCTGTTATGATCCCATGAGAAAGGATCTCAGATTCCATAAAACACCCACTGAAAGAGTATTTTCTACATCCTGAACTCTCAAGAAGTGAGGGCATGCGTAAGGTAAACTCATGAGCTTTCAGGTATCGGTAACCCAGGATCTTACACCATCAAACAGCCATATCCTGTCCATGGAACGTTATCCCATTCTGGGTGTTAGAGCTGTTACGGGGGTTCCAGAAAGAAGAAGTCAGCTCTTTCTACTGCCAAGCAAAAAGGATGCTCACGTGAGAGCTGTGGCAGCAGTCTCAGATACAGGCAAGCACACGCAGGGTGAGCTGCCTGCAGGCTCCTCCCTTGCCATCAGCCAAGAAGGTCTCTCCATGGCCACGGCAGATGCAGAGTGCGGCACGGGCCTGGGACTGCTCAGGCTGGGTGTTCCGTGGATCACTCACTCCTGGAGGAACTAACATGGGGAAAGGTGGGATTTTAACTCAGGAATGAACGTACATAAACCGTTCCCAGGGATGGCGCATGGCAGAAAGGTGAGAGTGGGAAAGACGAGCCAGGGGCCATCAACGCTGGCAGATCAATGAGCTGCAGACACGCAGCAGCATGAGGGCTCCGCTTGTTGTCTCTAATGACAGAAACTGGTGCTCGAAGACTTCTTCCATCTTTCTTCTGGGAGACATCACCAGGACGTAAAGGCTTTGCTTTAATGTGTCAAAGCATGGAACATAATACTTGGGGGACATCTGATTCTGCAAAACCATAGAGGAAATCAGTAAAGGAAAATGCTTTTCACAGTGGAGGTGAAGAAATAAAAGCGCATGCTGTCATCGTATGACAACCAGGAGCTGACATGTTATATTCCCAAAACTGTAGGGAACGGGGATAAAGGGACCTCATCTCATGAAGCATGACTGAACAGCACTGAACTGTCCATGTGCAGCACTCTGATTCTCTTCCAGGGCCCTGAAGGCCACAGCAGGCCTTCTTTGCTCTGACCCACTGATTCATCCCCTGCCCCTTGCTCCAGGCCTACACAACCAGGCTTTGAGTGGGCTACGCAGGACTTGTACCTGCCTGAAGCCCTGTCTCCGTCCCCTCTCATGGGTGGACCTTCAGCCTGTGCGCTAGCCCTGGTTCAAGTCTACCTCTAAGCCCTAACTCCCGCAGCTCCAGGCGGGAGCTCTGCCTAGACTGTGGACCTTGTTCATTACCATGCGTTCACCACATGAAATCAAGGGATAACCTTGGAGGTCTCCAGCCCTGGGGATGACGAGCACAGGCTGTAACTCCCAGAAAATGGTCTTTAAAAGATGGAAAACACATGAAAGATGGAGAAAAAATAAGCCATGAAAATGCCGTTCTCTGTGAGGCTAAGGGATGAGATCGTGTGACAGGAACCCCTTGGAGATAAAAGCACATTTGCAGCACTACGTAGCTCACAAAGTGTAATCTCATAGGAGACACAAGCACATCAGGGTTTTGATTAGAGGCAGTGGGCAAAGCCCCCGTGATGTTCTCTATCTGAGGATGGTGATTTCTCATGGCAAGTTGATGCAAGGCATGCTCACATGCTCAGCCTCATTGTCTGCTTCTGCTGAAGGGATTCCCTTGGGATCCGATGTTCAGGATCAGGCCTGGGGGAGCAGAGGGAGGGATGGGCATGAGCAGGGGTGGTTCCGCACGTCAGGGAGGATGGGAAGAAGAAGCAGTGTTGAGGCCATGAGAGTGCCAGTGACTTCTGAGGGGTTTCTGCTCGTTCATCCCCATTGTTGCTGCTCCCTGGCTCATCTCGCTCACTCTCATCTTTCTGCCTTGCCCTTGCCCTGCCAAATCTCTTCCCCACCATACCCCTTGCTGAAGGGACACAAGATTATCTGACCCATGCCCACCTTCATGTGAGTTCTGGATGCAGAAAATGATGTTTCAGTGGATGCTTTATGGAATCTGAGATCCTTTCTCATGGGATCATAACAGATCAGCCCCTCCCGGTGATAAGCCAGGGGCAGGAGAGGAAGGGGGTGACGTGCCCAGCTCCTGCTGACAAGATCTCCCCCCTTGGGCCATGTGAGGGGAAGCTGTGAGCGATGTGGGCAGATTGTGAGGGGTGTCTGCTGAGCACGGGCCGTGATGTGTGGGCAAAGCTCTGCTCCCCAGGCACGAGGAAGACGGCAGAGCAGAGCGGGGTGGCCACGGAAGCATCCCCAGAGGCTTTGTGCTGCCGAGGCTGGAGGCCCCTGTGCTGGAGCTCGTGCAGCAGCGCTGTTGGCAGGAGCAGCAGGAGGTAGGAGAGCGGGCACGGGCAGGTGGGAGATGGCTCCTGGGCAGGGCCAGGCCTGCAGGGCTGGGAGCCTGTGCTGGGCACGCCGGGGGACGGGTCCTTCCTGGAGCAGCCTGGGGCTGGCGGGGGGCTGTGGGGAGAGATGGGGAGAGCGGGGAACGCCGATGGCCCTCATTGCCTTCTCATTGCTTGTGTCTCCTAGGAGGTGGTGGCAGAGGGAGAAGGAGGCTGCCCAGAGCAGGGTCATTTGCTATGGAGGAGACCAGCACAACAGACCTCTCTCTGAATTACACACATGATGGGAATTGGAGCAATGCGGGAAATTATGAATGTTTATATGCATCGGGCAGATTTATGACCTTGTTAGGTTTCCTCATGGTGATCTGTGTGTTTGGAATGGTGGGGAATGGGATAGTCTTGTGGTTTCTGGGCTTTCGGTTGAGGCAGAATCCTTTCACTGTCTACATCCTAAATCTGGCTGTTGCTGACTGCTCTCTGCTCCTCTTGTATTTTCTGCTCATATTGGGGCTTTTCAACTTGACAATAATTTGTTATGGTTTGGGTTCTTTTCTTCCTTTCTACAATGATTTCTTAGATGCAGTTGAATTACTGAGCCACTTGTTAGTCCTCAGCAGCCTGGGTCTCCTGACAGCCATCAGCACGGAGCGCTGTGTCTCTGTCATCTTCCCAATCTGGTATCGCTGCCACCGCCCAAAGCACTTGTCAGGCATCGTGAGTGGGGTGCTCTGGGCCGGCGTTGCATTTTTCATTTTGTCATATTATGTTTGCTCTCTCCTTGGTCAAAGACATTACACGCTCTTTGCAAGTGTGGGCATTGTCTGTTCCGTGATTTTGTCATTAACGATGTTGATTTCCAACGTGTCCATGGTCACGAGGCTCCGATGTGGCTCACAGAGACGGCGCCTGGGGAAACTCTATGTTGCTGTTGTGCTCAACATCATCTTCTTCTTTGCCTTAGGGATGCCTTTCAGCGTAAATTCTTTCTTTAATCTTTTATATTATGGTTTTCTATTTCCTGAAACGGTGACTCTGGTGCTGGCTCTGCTGAACAGCAGCATCAACCCAGTCATTTACTTCCTGGTGGGGAGCTGCCGGCAGCGCCGCTTCCAAGGCTCCATCCAAGTCGCCCTGCGCAGAGTGTTTGAAGAGAGAGAAAGGAGCAAGGAGGAGAGCCCCGTGCCTGAGGGCATCCCCATGGAGAGCACTGCCCAAGGCCCTGCTGGGGAGGGGGAGGCCTGAGCTCTGCTCCCTGTTGCAATCACCCTGTCATGAAGGGGAACATAGCTGAGAGTTGACTCCCTCTCAGGGCTGAGGGACATAACAAAGGATGCCGTTTGCCACAGTGTGTTCGGCTGAGTACATACGTTTATGTTCATAGTGACTGTTTGTCAGAAAGAGACAGGAAGCAGAGGGGTGCAGCTGTTCTATGACCTTCATACTTGGACACACGGGGGTGCCTGGCCAACGCTCTCAGCGTGGACCATGGTGAGATCATGAGAAACTGCATGGTTCCATGAGGACACAATCCGCGATCTGGCATAAAGCCGGTTGTTTTGATATGGGTATAAAAGCAGGAGCCGCTTGTGGCCGTGGGAGAAGCCTCACCTACAGGTGCACGCACAGCATAGGAATTGTCCCAGTGACCTGAGAGTCCTGGCATCAGCTGCAAGGGGGCTTCCCATCTGGAAGTGTGGGACTGGATGATGGTTCAGTGGTAAGTGGTGATGAATTTCTTTTTAATCTCTGCTGTCTCTATACAGTCATGCTTGATGCATTGCAATGTTTCTTCGGTACTTCAGTTACATATCTGTATCTCTGATTTGCTTTATTGTACTTATTCACTGTATATAGTGAGAGATATTTACCTAATTCACGTTAGTGTGATTGCATTAGTGCGCTTATTGGCTTTAATGAGCTTGTTAAATAAACTGCGCATATTATACAGGTAGCCTGTGTCATTTTGTGGCATATTCTGTCTGTCAGCAGAACAGACCCTTATGGCCTTGACCCCATGTGTGTACTTTGGCTGAGCAGCTGAGTGTTGCGGTGCTTTGGGGGAACTCTTTGCCTGAAGAAGCTGTGAGAGAGATGCCCTCGTGGATTTCTGGCCATGGATGAGAAACCTGCTGTAGTGGAAGGTGTCTCTGCTCGTGGCAGGTTATTGGAACTGGATGAGCTTTAAGGTCCCTTCTAGTCCAAATCATTATGTGATTTTATGATTTTGTGCATTCCGTCTCCTATCTGTTCTTACCCTTCCCCTCCACCTTACCTTATGTCATACAGAGCCATCTATGTTCACTCCTTGTTCATGGCCATGATCCCTGTTGAGCTGTGTGCCTAGCGTTGGGTATCTTTGTCATTTTTTCTGTTTGCGCTGGTTTGCACCCTTCCATTTCTCTTTTCTTCATCATCTTTGAAAGGATGAGGTTTCCAGCCTCATGCACATGGTTAATGGTGCACTTGCGCCCTCATACAGGCTACTGGAATTGGCAACTTCATGTCTTATTTCAAAGCTGTGAAATCAACAGTGCTAGAAATTCAACTGCAACAGCAGTTGCCCACCAGCAGTAAGGTTATTTGGCATTTTGCATCAGTAATTCCCCTCTTTGGTCCAGTGTTGAGCCCAGCAACAGCAGAACTTATTGCCTAATGTGTGGAACAGTGAGTTTTAACCATGAACATAGATATGAGCTCATGGAATCACATAATCATGGAACAGTCAGGGTCAGATCTCCTGATTTGGTTTTGCTCCTGATTTTTTTTCCATCTTCCCCTCCTTGTTAACACCTAAACCATACCCAGAGCAGTCTCAGCTGGGAGAGATCTGTATTCTCATCATGACCTTCCTGCCTGATATTCTCTTCAAGGCATGTATCAAACCCATTACGTTTTTATCTGGTCACCACCTGTTGCACCCAGAGGTTTTTCTTACAGCCAATAGTAGCATTTTTGTTTAATCTACTACCCTATAAAGAATATCACAAGAATTCCAAGGAGTTTGTTTTGCTATAGAGACCCCCTGAACAGTAAAACAAAGATTGAAGGTAGGAGATAGCGCCTGCAGAGATCGGTGGAGGAGTCACCTCACTGAATAGTGACGTTAGGTTGAGTTCAGAGGAGCTGTTCTCAGAGTATGCTTAACCTGAAATTTGCCAAGTTTAATTATTTTGATATAATGAATAATCACCTCTCCCTGCCATGACTGCTTCACTTTTGTCCTTAGCTCATCTGCTTGTCCAAGGTATGCTTTCTCTTTGGATGCCATCAAGTTTTCTGCCTTGTTTTCCAAACCTTCCAAATTCCTGTCCAGTTCAATGCCAGGGGAGATGTAGTGGCACTTTACTAACCTGAATAGAAAAAGTAAAATGATAGTACCTGTACTTTAAAGTTTGGGGTAATTCAAACATCTTAAATAGCATTCGCATTTTGATTCTAGCCTCAGATGACATCTGTTCCCTTAGGGAAAAAACAAAGTAGGTGGCATATTGAGGATTAAATATGGCATAACAGAGGCCATGCAGATTGTCCAAGAGCCCATGCAACAGCCTGGGCCTAGCTCTCTCCTTGGCTCAATTCCTTGATGCAGGGATGTGTCACACTGTTTGAGATGTACTCAAAGCATCCCCTGCTGCCTGAGCTGGGTGTGAAGAAGGGAGAAAGGCCCCTTTGCTGCTGTGTGAGTGATTTTTGAAGGTGCATGAAAGGAGTAAAAATGAGGATAAATGAATTCTGCCATAAAGGTATATTCAGAAATGAGGACGTCCTTGACCAGAACTAATAATCCTGCCTGTGTTCTCCAACACCTTGTGCCTCCCCTCTGTGATTCCAGAAAAAAAATGCTCTGGATTTCTTCTGGCCAGGGCTTCATGGGACACCCACAGGGATTTGAAGCAGATGCCATGAGAGAGCGTCTGAAAAGTCTAATCTGCACCAGGTAACACCTTTTGATATCAGGCCTCACTGAGACTCCTTTACTGTGCAGGACTGTGTGGTGCGTGCCTTCCTCAGCTGCTTCTGAAGCTCTTCTGCACCACCATCAGCCCCAGAAGCTCATCCCTTCTTTCATTTCCCTGCAAATATCTGGCAGATGCCAGCCATAAGAACATTAGTCTTTCATCATGGACAATTGAGGGTGTCTATGATGGTGTTTCTATGCAGGCATCACCTTTTAAAGGTCCAAGGTTGGAAGTAAAGTGTTCACATTGATGTGATGTGTAAAATGTGTTCACATCAACTGCTGCACACTGGGTATGTTTAAGGACAAACTCAGGAGGGAAAGGGTTATATGTTTATAACACTTTAAATGGTTTTATCAGTTGATGGCTTCTTCTGAGCACAAGAATATTTTTAAATGCAAATTGTTTTTCCTTTAAAAAAAAGGGGTTTATTATTTTTTACAATAACAAAAAGATTCAGTTCTCCCAGTGATAAAATCATTACAGACATTCAAAACGAAACACTTAGAACATGTTTTCTGATAAAGGGATACTCTCTTCCCCTCAGCAGTAGAAGTTAGAAGGAAAATAAACCACCTTACTAAAAATAATTGATGACACAGCCCTAATCTGAATCAACTGTATGTACATTGCAGAAGAGCAGAACATTAAAGAATACTGGAAATGGAACTCAAATTTCAGCTTTCAGGAACTGTAAACAGGAAGCAAAAAGCAACAAGATAAAGATAATAGACAACAGAAGAATGCATCTTCCCTTTAGGAAAGTATTCACAAATGAAGGTATGAAATGGAAATCTGGAGGGTTTCTCAAAGAAAATGACCTGTGTTGCCTTTTCCTATATAGTCTGGTTAAAAGTGCTAATGTTAGGTAGTCTGATAGTACCCCCTTTCAAATAATCACATATTTCATCTCAAGGGTCTAGAAAATAATTTGTTGCAAATTGTGGTGTTCATTTACCTTTTTTCTGTTTCTTATTTTTTTCCTCTACCCTTGATTTTAATTCTGTCAGTAAAAGGGGATGTTAGAAGCCATGGGTTCTTATCAGTCCTTCTTAAAGGGAGGAATAACAACCCAATGCGTGCTGTAGTTAGTAAGATGAAGATACTCCTTCTTGGGCTGGAGGAAGGTAAAGTAATATGCAACTCCAGTCCTGTATTTCTTTGAAACACAAGAAAAGGGAGAATGCAACTCAGTGTATAAAGTTTTAAGGCAAGTTGGTAGGGGCTGGGGCCCCTTCGTACTGCATCACAACTCCGTGGTATATGGAAACTTCCCTTGCTAATAGAAGAAAGGAACTTCCAGGGCATGAATCATTTCACCATTTGAAATGAGCATGAGAGAGCAAAGAATTGCGCACCCTATGAGCTGCAGAAAATGACATGTGTGGCTGAGATACAGGTATTTAACATGAAGTGAGATAGATAGAGTCCTTCCAGGAATTTCATGGCTGATTTCAACAGGAGGAGGATAGGTTCCTATCTCATTTTCAGAGACCTGAGTAAAAAGTGACTGAAATTTGTGAGTTTGATATTGTTGTACTCTAAAAGACAGAGATTTATTGAGTGAACTGCAAATTCTGAGTGGGATTCCTTTGATGTAATGCAGACACCAAGATATTCTACCTTACCAAGCTGAAATCCTTTAATGGGCACTGAAGAGAAATAGATACTTTCAATGTAGTCCTAACAGAGGTCAGGTAAACTCTGTGGTCCAGATGTTTATTTGTTTTCTCTGACCATTGATGGAGCTTAAAATAATTAGCTAAAGGCTGGAGATCCACAATGAAGATACTGGAGGTCATGTGAGATAAACCCACCCCAATATCTCAGAGATCTTCAGCCCTCAGCTCCAGACCAGTGCTGCTGTTATGCACAGGATGGGTTTAGGAAGACATAGTGATTGTGTCATGGGTTTCCCGCTCATCTTTGTCATCTGCTGAATCTTCAAAGGCCCTCTGGAATGCCAGCCTGAGGGTAAACTTGATTCTCCGATCCCTGTAGCTTCCCACCAGGAAGTAAATGACAGGGTTGAGGGTGCTGTTCACACAGGACAGCACGAAACCGATCTCTGGGGAGTAGAGAAATTTGTAGCCCAAGAAGTCAAAGAGGATCAGGATACTCAAAGGCACAGCAAAAATGAGGAAGAAGAGAACGGTGAGCATGATGACGGTGAAAAGCCTGCCCGTTCGGAAGTGTTGGGAGCTGCACTTGACTCTAAGGAAGAGGATAAGGCTGAAGAGCAGCATGAGGGGTGTGCAGAATATGAAGTCCAAGGCTCCAATGGTGATGAGCAGGATCTGGCAGGTCCCAGCAGAGCGGTGCACGGAACACAAAACATACCCAAGAGTGTTCAGCAGCAGGGAGATACCCCAGAGCAGGCCAGAGATGATGGCAGACAAGTGCTTTGGGCGGTGACTTCTGCACCAGATGGGACAAAGCACAGAGAGGGACCTCTCAATACTGATGGCGGTCAGGAGGTACAAGCCAGTCCCATACATGAAAAGATCCAGGAAGAGGAATATCCCAAACTGCACCCCCACGTTGAACTGCATCAGGTACTGAACCGTCTCTATGGCAATGCAGAGGAGGTACCCAAAGTCGGCAGCAGCCAGGTTCAGGATGTAGACTGTGAAGTGGTTTCTCCTGATGCGGAAGCCAAGATACCATAGCACCATGCCATTACCCACCATGCCACAGGCAGCACTGATGAGGCAGAAGCTCTCCATGAACTTGAGGACAGCATAGGATGGCTCTGTCTTTCCCACAGCCACACTCTGATTAGTCCCAAGAACCTGACTGCTTGCAGTTGGAAGGAAGATTGACATGGTTGAAGTACTCATCATGAGGGATTTCAGACAGACCTGTAAGCAGAAAGGAGAGAGGTAACTGGTGTCGCTTTCCCTCATGGTGACCTGATGGTGTTTCTGGATTTGGTTCATCTCTTTGTCGCCAGAGCTTGATTTAGGGAGGGATTGCTGTGTTTGGACTTGGAACACAGAGCTCTAATGCACTGTTCAAAGCATTGACCCCAAATTCTATATGACATGTAGGAAAAGTTAAACTACACTGTTTGTCCCTTCTTAAAACTCAGTTCCTGAGGGCCCTTTTTGCAGTCGGTACTGGGAAACAAATAGCTTAAAAAAGCAATTACAGCTGAGATGAATCATGTCGGAAAAGTACCTCTTGTGTGAATAAGAAGAGCAAATCCAGTGTTATCAACGAGATAGCTGTCTTTCCTTCCTGTCGCTAAGATTAGGTGACAAATCTTGTTAAAAGGGTGTGAAAATTGTAGGCAATCAGCATACAAGTTTAATCAGCATGAAATCCGATTGAGTTTTGTCCATGCCCAGAAAACATGTTAGGGAGTACTCAAAATAGCTTGTAGGTTTTTATGTCAATGATTGATTTCTAGTTGAGTGAGTGTAGTTTAATGTGGTTGGTTTGTTCTCTTGAGCCCTATGTACAGAAAATAAGTAATTCAATCTGAGGAGTCAGCCCTTAATAACTTAATTTTCAGAAGGAAACTTTAAGAACTGCATGTGGGATAAAATTCCCCTCATTGGGGTCAGGTCATTGGAATTATGGCTCAATTATTTCACCTCATTCCCTGGGGTGGTTCACCCTGCTTCTTCCTGTATGATACTGGGATATGAAAGAGAATGGGAAGGGAAAGAAGTATCATGAGCGACAGCAGGAGCTAGTTAAAAAGAAGAGAGGAACAAGACAAAATGGGGAGAGCTGGGAAGATGTGACTCATTGAACAGTCCAATCAGCACGAACAGGCTGTTCTGTTTCCATAAAATGCTGTGGTATAGATGGAGACAGACTCCCATAAGCACGCAAAATATGACAGATTGAATCAAAGAAGTGGTAAATGCCCCATCCCTGGCAGTGTTCAAGGCCAGGTTGGATGGGGCTTGGAGCAACCTGCTCTAGTGGAAGGTGCCCCTGCCCATGGCAGTGGATTGGAACTGGATGGGCTTTAAGGTCCCTTCCAACCCAAACCAATCTGTGACTCAGATGATTAAATTCAATGAATTTAATACACACTGAAAGGGACTATGGAAAACAAATAACACCATCTCCTTCAGCATGGACAGTCTGCTGTAGTACGGTTTCATGACAGGAACATCCCTGAGTTCAAACTCATCTCTTTCCTTATCTGGGGAGAGCAGTGTACTTGCTGACCAACACCTCTCCAAGGCTACCTCTTCCCTGCACATCTGCAGCAAGTAAATTGGAAAGATACATTCTTCTGACTTTGTTTGCTTCCTCGCTACCTGCTTTTGGGGTGGCAGCAGATCAGCAGAGCTTGATGCTGTGAGAAGAAAGGAAGACCCAGTGTTTAAGTGGTTTCCTGGCCTCCAGAATCTCTAGTGCAGCTCTATCTCTGCCACAAGCTATTGGTGTAACCCAAAACAAAGTCACAATTGGTTTGAAGAGGAAATGAACATCTGAGTGTCACTTAAGCTCTCTCTAAGCCCACTCCAGCTTTCTGATGTGGTCCCCATTTGAGGAATGAAGCTATTCTGCTTCCCTTGTGCAGTCATCTCCAGAAGGCTGTTATACCTGTCCTCCAGTAGGATATCTCTCCACTGGGCATTCAGGGAATGACAAATCTAACTGGCTAACTTAAGCTCATCGAGTGTATTTCCTAATGTTAAAAGAAATGGTTCTGTGCCATCGAGCACACCTACATAAAGACTGACACTAGTGGACACCCTCATTTTTTCTTGTCTCTAAGACAGATTCAAGACATTGAGCCTGCTTCCTTGATGAAACTAATGAGTGAAAGTTAGCATCAAACAGCAGCAGACTGAGTCTAAGTGGTCCTTCTCTCTCTTAATATGAAACATCCTTCCTGTGGTTTGCTTGCTGAGTACCATGTTCTTGTAGCAGATGTCAGGCTGAACAACCATAACACCACAAAGACATTTTAGACAATGGACAGAAAGTTTTGTTGTTGTATTTTCTTAGCCAATTTTAAGTCATCATCTAAGACCAAACCTGCTAATCTCTGTTTCTGAATAATGACATCTAGTACAGAGGTGTATTTAGAGCAATTCAATAGCACTTGTTCATGGAAAAAGGTCTCCAGAATGAAGCTCTGGTTACCTTCAAAATGATTAAGACCATTTCTTACCTACAGCAAATTTGTAACCAGAAGAAAATGTTTGATCACCTTTCCTCCTTGTCTTTCATTCCTCCCTTCCTTACCCTCACCATCACTCCAAAAGCACAACAGAAAGCACCAGACAGAGTGCAATGGCAAAGATGCCATCTAGGAATTTCTCACCTTTTTGTGGGTTCCTTGGAATCTCAGTGACTGATCTGCAGCAGCTGTCTGGTGTGGATCCTCTGGGTGAAATTTTCACTGGAATTCTGTCACTTCTGGTCCAGATAAAGTCCTTGTGTCACACAAGTGCTGGGAGAGTTAGAAACTATTTTAAAAGCCACAGTCTTTACAACGCGACATCTGACAGCCAGCCAATCATTCTGTTGGGGAAATATCTAGTTTGGGGTGTGTGGTCACTTAGATATGAGCAACTTCCCTCTTTGTACAGAGCCTGTCAGTGTCATGGCTCTGGAAATGCGTTTTCTTTTTACTACTTCTCCCTTCTTCAGCTAGTCTCACAATGCAAAGAAAGCAAGAATGGTCTGTACAAAATTATACCTTGCCTCAGCACAGGTTCTCATTCCCCAAGGACCTATTGGCCCTGCTGAACAGGCCTTAACACACCCAAACAGTATCCTTATCTAACCCACAGCCTCTCCCAGGGCAAGTTGTCACTCTACTTAGTCCCTATTGCTTCACACAACCCTTCCTGGAGCAGGGTCCACCCAAACTCATGCTTCATCACCACCTCCTATCTCTATCAAAACAACCCCTTGCCAGCATTCACCACTCATCCACACAACCTCACTCATCTCACCATGCACAGACCCTCCATGTGATGAGCTTCCACTATCCTGGTGTCAGATCCACGTGCCAAATGAAATGAGTGAAAACAGAGACATTTCTTCTTTCCTGGCAGTATGCACATCCTTATAGGAACTGTTTTGCAACAGGAGATATCAGCAACTATTGATTTGGGCTTGTGCATTAAGTCACATCTGCTAGTCTGTTTGGCTAGGGAAACAAAAGGAGAGGAATAGGATGCCAGCCAAATTGCTGCCACATGTGTCTGTGGGTAGAGAAACTGGCAGATCTGCCCCAAAACAGCTTTGCAGGCCAGATACCTGATGGTTCATCTTTAGCTTCTTTCATTTTATCTCCCAGTCTGTACTGATAGTGGAGATTGCACCTTGGCCTTGCTGAACTCCATGAGGTTCTCTTGAGCCCACTCTTCAAGCCTGTCCAGGTCTCTCTGGATCCCATCCCTTCCCTCAAACATATCAGCTGCACCACTCGGCTTGGTGTCATCTGCACACTTGCTGATGGTGCACTTGATCCCACTGTTTATATCAATGATGAAGATATTAAATAGTATTGGTCTCAGTTCAGACCCTTGATGGGCACCACTCATTGCTGGTTTCCACTTGGAATTTGAGCCATTGATTGCAGCTGTTTGGATGTGGCCTTTGTCTGCCCTAAGTTATTATATTCAAAATCTAGATGTCTACTTCAGACCTAATCTTATCCTAAAACTGGGTCTGAGGTAGATCAGGGGAATCAATTCCTGGAGAGATCTATTTCTTTCCATAGGAAAGCCTGGAGTGACAAAGACTCAACTTATCTGCCTTCCATACACATAAAACAGGCAAGTTCCTCCCTTGGTTTCCCCATTTCTAAAAGAAGGATTTTTTCTTTCCTGATTCTGTAATTTGCTAACCTTTGCTAAAACGTGCAAGTTCTTGCAAGAGGCTTTATTCAATGGGAGACCAGTGGTGAAATTTCATGCAAAGTAGGACTTTAAGGGTTATCACGAAGTAACCCAGGCCATCTTCTGTCTCTGTGAAAATTTAACGTAAGAATACTGAGAACAGTGTGCTTAACCTGCCCTTAAGAAGACAACTGTGATGGGTAACTCTTTACCACCACCACCCTGGCATGGTGCCTCCCTCTTTACTACTTGAAATATCTCTGATTTTCTGTTCTTAGGTCAAGATTTGTGTTTTCCTTTTGGAATACACAAAGATTTAAAAGCATTGGTTTATTACTCACAAAGCTGTGGCTGCCCCATCCCTGGCAGTGCTCAAGGCCAGGTTGGACGGGGCTTGGAGCAAGCTGCTCTAGTGGAAGGTGCTCGTGCCCACGGCAGGGGGTTGGAGCTGGATGAGCTTTAATGTCCCTTCCAACCAAAACCACACCATGATTCTATGCTATCAAGTCATAGCAGTGGATCTAACAGATCTCTACACTTAGGAAAACCATAAAGCATGGCTTAATGAAGGTCTCTGGAAAGCGCTGACTGGACTAAGTCACATCCCATGCTTACGTGGTTTAGCTATTCAGTTAATCCATTGACTGCCTTTTCTTCTGGAGAAATCCTGAAGTGCCTTGATAATATCATTATCACAGACTGATGGCTACTTCTTTGATATTTCTTTGAATTAATCTCTCCTCCTTTCCCCTTCCTTTCATGCCTTCAATTCATTAAGCCTCCTTGCCTCTCTCCTCCAGCCCCAAGAGCCCCTGAGGTGAGAGATTTCCTTGGAGAGGGTTAAAGAGTGCTACTTAAAGCGTTGTCTTCTCAGCCTTCCTTCTGCTGCCAGGTTGTGAAGGCATCATTCAGTGCTCAGAAATCAGGCCACACAACCCAGACAGCCCATCAGAGCAGCTCTCACATGGGCAGAGAACACTAAGATACACTTGTACAGGAAAACAAGAACCTAAATTAGATGGAATTACACAGCAAAAGGCTTTTCCTGAGCAAGTGTTGGGAGCTTTTCAGAAGCCATTCCGTGATCTTTAAAGACACTTTGCTCTAACACATTCCTTCTGGGGAAGACAGATGTTGATGAGATAGAATCATACAGCCCTTACACAAAAAGTTTGATCTACAGCCACAGAGGAGGTAAGTTTTCCAGATCTCTGGTTCCTTTCTTTTTGTGTCCTTTCTTCTTTTCCCAATTTCCTTCTCTTTTGTTTCACTTCTTCTTGAACAAATGTGAAAATACAAAAAAGGAATTTGCACTAAAGTTATCACCTGTTTGTGGCTTTCTTTGGTTGGAGTCAGGTACAGAACTGGTTCTGTAGTCCCAGGCTGGGTTATTCTGTCATTTTGTTCCCTATTAACCCCCTGAGATTTTATGGAAGAATGCTGGTAATTTCTCCTCCTTTTTGAAATGCTAGTAGTCCTCTTGGTATTTCTTTTGTTTTGTAATTGATTGCATTATATCATATACCTCTAGTCTGCCCCTGAAAAAATACTATTAGATGTAAGACATAGAATCATAGAATCATAGAATAGTTAGAGTTGAAAAGGACCTTAAGATCATCCAGTTCCAACCCCCCTGCCACGGGCAGGGACACCTCACACTGAACCATGTCACCCAAGGCTCTGTCCAGCCTGGCCTTGAGCACTGCCAGGGATGGAGCATTCACAACTTCCAGTCATTGCAGACATCCTCTTAGAGTCAGGAGAAAGAAATTGGCACCTCCATCACATCTTTTAGAAGATGCCTTAGGCTGGTCATGAACTGCCCCACAAAGGCAGAAAACAGAGTGAATGTGTCTGGCTTGGATGCAGGTGACTACAAGACATAAGGAAATATATTGTAAAATATATTGTAACGTATTTCACAGCCTTCCAATACCTGAAGGGGTTACAAGTAATCTGGAGAGGAGCTTGGGACAAGGGCCTGTAGGGACAGGCCAAGGGGAATGGCTTTAACCTGCCCGAGGGGAGACTGAGATGAGCTCTTAGGCAGAAGCTCTTCCCTGGGAGGGTGCTGAGGCGCTGGCACAGGGTGCCCAGAGAAGCTGTGGCTGCCCCATCCCTGGCAGAGTTCAAGGGCAGGTTGGACACAGGGGCTTGGAGCAAGCTGCTCCAGTGGAAGGTGTTGGGGTTGGAGCTGGATGAGCTTGAAGGTTCCTTCCAACCCAAACCAGTCTGGGATTCTATGATTCTGCATTGTAAAATGCAATTTGGTAGTGGTGACAGAGGCCTTACGATAACGCATGCACGGTAAAGGTGTCTGTTGTGAGTGGGTGGTATCTTTATAATCCTTTCAGAAGTATGCACTTTCTTTCACTGGGCAATTTCCCACCTGCCATTATTCAGGAATATACTTTTCCTTGATCATCTGTCTCTTGCTCACTCCTTTATGAACCACAGATTGCCTGAATGTGACACTGAAACTGGTGGGGTTTGCTTCCCATCCTGCTCTGGCCAGACAGATTCCTGCTGTTTCTCTTCCACTGGCTATTGCACAGCCATAAATACATACCCATTTTGTCCTTTTGTTTTCAATGGAAAACTGTCAGTGCTAAGTGAAAAGAGGAGGGATGGAGGTAGAAACCAGTATCACATTCTTACTGCTTGGAGATACACCAGAAAAGGAATTATCCATGTAAATTTTACCTTCCCTTCTTGACTATCTTTTACTTTGTTAGCACATATGCAAGCACAGGAAAAGTCCCTAACTTTCCCAACTTCCTCTCTAGGCTTCACTTTGTGGGTTTGAGAGCAATTCTGTTTTTTTCAGTGTTTCCTGTGGGTGCTTGATCAGTATTTGCCTGCACAAGAGTTTCACATTTTTCTGTAGTTCCAAATAGGTGCTATGTAATTTGTGTTAGCTGAATCATTCCATGGATCTGATCCATGGAGCTGCTCTGATCACTGCTTGTGTTTTTACTGGGCACGACTTGCAAAGGTGATTTATAATAGCAGTTGACTGGGGATGTTTGGATACCAGGATAGATCCCATACAGCTGAGAATCTGCTTCTAAGAGAGAGAATCATAGAATAGTTAGGGTTGGAAAGGATCTTAAGATTATCTAGTTCCAACCCCCCTGCCATGGGCAGGGATGCCTCACATTAAAGATGTTTATTTTCGGTTAAACTCAGTAACATGTTTAATCTAGTGGTTTCCAGGCTTCCCTGACCAAAGCCACTCTGATATTTGGGTGTGTAACGGCAAGTTGGCAGTGTTAAGGAGTAAGTCTTTTTAAAGATGTAGATTATTTACTAGTGACATTTACTTCTCTGGGGCTATCACTGGAACAGGCCAAACCAAAGAAGCCCCACACTCACCCTGGAATTTCTGAACAGAGAAAGTGCAGAGGTCTAGAAGTACGTAGAAGTACGTTCAGCCATAGCACATACACAAGAAATGAGGATGGCATCATGAAAGCTCTGACCTACCTTCAGACGGCAAACAGGATTATTCCCTGAAGTTAACTTTACCCTGGTGATGTTAATTTACTTAGGCTCCTCTTAGTCAGTGGAAAAAGAAAGGGTTCTGAAAAGGACCT